GCTCAGCTTCCAGGTTTCAGTTCTGCCCAGTCCTGGCTGATGCAGGCTTGGGGGAGTGAACCAAAAAATCGGACTTTTCCATGTTTCTCTCTGCTTCTCAAATAAGTAAATGTTTCTAAAATCATATCTGAAAAATAGTCTCATACCAATGAAATGGTATACTGCACAGTTGCCTCTGCATTTGAGTTGTAGAAGAACAATATTTGATTAGTATTGTATTTATATTTAATTGTTAAGAATCCCATTCTTTATAGCTTTTATTACTATGTTTGGAGATACTTTTTAAAATCCTCTTTAAAGGAGGCATATGTAGTAATTTGTTTTGCAAAACTGAACAGGAGATCATCTGAACTTGTATATTCTTAGATTAATAAAAAGCAAAAATATCTGCTATAAACTTTTTTTTTCCCTAGAAAACAAGACTAATAACATTTAGGTTCTAGTTAATACATATTTCAAAGTCCAATTATTTTAACAAAATGAGGTCTATAATCATAATGTAGCATTAACTTACACTTCAAAGCACATCTTTGCATTTTAAATACTGTTTTGCATTATAATGAAAATAGAATGAGTCTTCCACAACTTCAAACTGATCTTAAACAAATAATCAGGAAGTTACACAATGCATAAAAAGCAGGCCCGTTTGCTTGATGCTTACCGGTTAGAAGTGTACCTGTGGGAGGCAGAAGCAGAAAGGGTAAGTCGGCCACACGGGAAAATCAACGCAGCTATTACCGTCTCACAACCCTAGACCCTTCCTTTTTGAAATACTAACTAAATGGTTTTTCTTCAGCGCCCATACCCTAAAAGGGAAAGATTGTTAAAAGCGTCTTATGAGCAAATTAATAACAATTGACTTACCAACTTCCTGGGGCTCTGGCCATAGCTTGTACAATTTTTGTTCATTTTCCCATTTTTTGTTCATTTCCACCATTTTTAAAGAAAGCTGCCAACAGTGAGAAAGTATTCATCACTGTGAAATTTATCTTGAGATAATTCTTTAAAAAGGAATAATTTACTGTTTGGTTTCATGTATAGTTACTAGTCAAGATTTGTGATCCATTTTACTACCCGGATATTTGGAATCAAATCAACACTCCTTGGTGACAACAGTATCAGGGTTAAAGTTTACTATTTTCTAAATGTGTTCAAGTTAGAAATGAAACTTCTGCTGTTCCAGAGAGCCATAGTCAGTTTCATGGCTAGGAGATTTCCTTTTCATTAATTATAATTTGTTCAGTAACCATTTATCCAGTTACGTCCTATTTTATCTGAACTTTTTATCTTAACTGTCACACACTTCTAATGTATTTCATAAAATGCAATATTGATGTTTTTTAAAGCTGTTGAAAGTTAGAAGGCAAAAGTGTAAGTGAATGAGTCAGTTTGACTACCTTAGCACTTAAATAAAAGGAATCTGATTGGAGAACTGGCTGCCTTTCTTCTATCAAAGCCTCTTTTCAATTTCTACTCCTTTCTCCCCTAAAAAATAAAATTTTGGTCATCTATCAACATAATAGATCTTTTTCATTATTATCATTGTCCCAGGTAGGGAAAAGCACTTCAAGATTTCCATCTTTCATAACAATTGTTGCAATTCAAACTTATAAGCCAAGAGAAAATCTCTAAAATATAGGGTTTATTTTTTTTTAATTTAAAAAAATAGTCATTTATCTCTCTTAAATTAAGAGGCTTCCCTCCCCAACCTCCGCTTCTAATCTGAAACTCTAGGAAAATTTCAACATGATTTATAAAGGGATTCAGTAGCTTGGTTTTCATGAACACAATCACAAGTATATATAAATATTGGCAGTCCTGTCCCGCTCCGAGTGGTTCCTATGATATAAGAAACTGGTATTTCACCATTCGTGTGGCCATCCTAATTTCATTAGTGTGGCTTCTTTACGCACTTTCTCCAGTGACGCAAATAAAGACATGATTTTTTGGAACATCAGGCTTATGGCTGCCTTCTCTCTTCTTCATTACTTATGTTGGACAAACTGCCATCTCCACTTGCCAAAAAAAACCCCACAGTTCAGTAGACTTCAGCTTTGAGGTCTTTCATACCCTCCTTAGACCACCAGTAGCTTTGTCTCTGGGTGAGTAGAAATTGGACACTTCTTTTTGATGTTTAACAAACCAGATTCTGTTACTTGACCTTTAAGGAAAAGTTTTCTAAGCCATATCATTGGAAACATAATGACAAATCTCTTTGGAACATAGGCCATTTTTTTTTAAATCAAATTTTATGAGATTTGTATCAAGATGTGACATGAAGTTTCTAATAGAATGAGATAGTGTGTCTTGTGTATTTTCCTTTACCCATGTCCATATGCAGAAATTATTAAGGATGCACCGATTTTTTTAGTATGTCTATACTAAATAAGTCCAAGAAACTAAGGTTAAAATATTGAATTTCTAGATTCAGATTTTTATTCTTCCACCACATTTGATTCCATGAACTGCATGAAATTTTAAAATAAGAGTCTACTCAATTTCACCAGCTTCCCTACTCCCATTGTTGCCTCTTGCGTGACCACCTCCCTGCGTCTCAATCCCATATCACTTTCTTTGCCATATGTTAAGAAATGTTTTCTTCAGCCCATTTTCTCTTTATGTTTTCTTGCTTTATAATTATTTGTATAGCCTTTCCCGTGATGTCCTGTGGATTATACTAAAGTATAATAAATATATCACATAGCGGACTTTGCAGACTTTATACCTCAAAGCATAGTTAATAGCAGCTATAAGGTCTTTTAAAACAAAGTTGAGTTAGCTGTGCTCCTTTTTCTCTCTGCTCAGTGTTCTGAAGTATTCCCAACTGCTTTCCCTCTAGAGTCCGAAATAATTGAATCGCAATTAGTTATCTAGTTAAATGCCCAATTTTGTTGTTCAGTCAGCTTTCTTCTCTTAATAATTTGATTGTTAACTAGATTTTGTTTTTAAATCTGTTAAGTCGGTGTTCTAAGTAATATATATACTTAAAGTAGTGTTGTTTTTAATCTCATGCCTTAACATAGTCCTAAGAGTGCATTCACATTGGATGCTCCTAAGCAGAGACTCACTAAGAAATGTAAAATAAAATCAACATTTGGAGAAGGGAATTATCTGGACAAGTGTACACTTGTTCTTAAAAAAATACATCTGATTTAAGTTTATATATGATAAACTTCTTTAAAGATTTGTGTTTGTTTATAAGGCTTTCATTTTTAATTATAAGCAAGCTCCTATGTCATTTTTAAGACATAGATCAAAAGTCACGTCACTGCGTCTTCCACTGACCATCAAGCATAGTGTAGCTTTTCCTGAATTCAGTGTTCCCCATTACGCAGGCATTAATATCAATGTCATGATTGTATTATAACACATCTGATTGACTGTATGCTCCTGAGGGCAAGGAGCCCTTTATTTCTGGAGCCAGAAGCATTCTGCTGCCTACCACAGGAATATTAAACATTGAGATATTCATTATGATGTCAGATTTTCTATCACCAACCACATTTCCTGGTGACCATCTGCTAGGATCCCTGAAGCCAGAAAACATGGGAGGAACAAGTGCAGAAGCAAGCAGAGGGACCTCTGTGCAGTCATGTGCCTGGAAACTTCAGAGTGGGGCTCTGAAACTGTCCTGGACCATCAGAGCTTCCCGGGGCAGTTCTCCACCTTACGTTTAACCTAGATGTGTGGAGCAGTTGGTCACACGGGAAGACTGAAGGGCCGAGCATTCAGCTGCAACAGAGGGAAGAGGGCATTTATGCCTTCCATTCTTGACCCAGTTTGCCTCCTGTGTGAGGGAGGTGGTCGCATCCAGTGTTGTCATCAAGGTCCTCAACTCTGCCACACCCCACCAGTGTTCCTAATGTCAGGAATGGTGTGATGTGTTTGGTTCTGTCTTCACCCTGAGCGCTCTCAGTGTTTCTCAGATCGGTCCTCTTTTCAAGCAGAGTTGTATTTGTTGATGTGCCCTTTACTTATGCTTTTATATTTTAACTTAATCTCTAAAATTTATGTATTCTCTGTTTTTGAAATGTAGACACTTATAAAATTATCAGTATTTATTGTTTATATTGCTGACTAGAAGATGTATAATATAGTTCTAAGAGACTATATATATAGCTCTTTGATTCTTTGGTTTTTGTGTCTGAGTTTTCTAGATAGAATTTGATCGTTTGTTTAAAAAGAAAAAAATTAAGATAACTGTTATATATTTTTAAAGACTCTAATTATATGTTGTTGTGCTTTTTTTGCCGTTTCTTGATTGTTTAAGTTGTCATTTTTCCCCCACTTTGGGTGATGAAAATGAGTATTTGATCTCTGTTTTCTAACCAGTAGAATTATTAACAAAAAAAGCTCAGATAATTTTTTTTCATTTCAGTTATTATATTTTTCAATGCCAGAGTTTTCATCTGGTTTCTTTTTAGTTTTTCTATATCTTACTGATGTTTCCAGTTTCTTCACAAACTGTCTTCTAGACCCTTTTACAATAGATATTTAAGGTAGTAAATCAGACAAAATACATTGTAATTTACATATTTCACATTTAACCAATTTCATGCAAAATACTTGAAGCAAGCACAGGTACAGATTTAAGCTACTTGATGACTTCATTGCCTCTTCCTCCATTTCTTTCCTTCTGTAACCTCTCGCAGTTATGTCCCAGGGTAGGGCTTATCCTCTGCATACTTTGTCCGCTGTTCTTCAGGCAAGATCTGATGCCTCATGGTCAGGTCCCGTGTTCTCATATTGTGAAACATCCTGTTACTACACAGGTTCTCAGGAAAGCTTAGATAATTTTAATTCAAGCTTCTGTGGTATTGATTCCATTAGATCAGTGTAAAATGTGTGCCTTATATTATTCAGTAGCTATGTGCATAGTAATTCAAATTATGAACTCTTTTAAATAATGATATATGTAAAAGTTTTGTTTCAGTTTCTGTGTAAAAACATTAAAGGAGCATTTTTCATGGTTAAGTTATTATCTTGTGTCTTTTGCTTAGGGTGTTCCAGTGATGGCAATAAGGAACAAAATGATGTCAGAAGGTCTGGATCCAGATCTTCTTGAGTGAGTAATTCTTCTAGTAATGATATCCTGTCAACTTATTGCATTTGTCAGTTGTAATAAAATATTTCAAGCTATATTATTTCCCTGTAGAGCGTTCTATGTTTCTGGAAACTATCTTCATAGAATCCTTGCTGTGTTATAAACATGAGGACAAAATCTTATGCTAACAAATCCAACATTTGCACATTTTAGGAGCAGTTTTTGTTTTGGTTTGTGTTGCTTTTAAAGAATGATTTATTTGAAAGAGTTGCAGTGAGAAGGAGAGAGAGAGAAATCTCATCTGTTGATTCACATCCCAGATGGCCACGGTGTCCGATGCTGGGCCAGCTGAGGCCTGAAACCAGCAGCCAGGAGCTTTTTGTCGATCTCCCACATTGGTGGCAGTGTCCAAGCACTTGGGCCATCTTCTACTGCTTTCCCTAAGCCATTACCAGGGAACTGGGTCAGAGGTGGAGCAGCTGGGCATGAACAGTACCCATATGGAAGACAGAAGAGTTGCAAGTGATGGCTTTACCTGCTGCATACAATGGTAGCTTCCAGGAGCAGTTTCATCGAACATAGTGTATCTGTATGTCTAAAAGAACTGAAATTCATGAAAAGGTTTTGAAAATTAGAATGTAGTGATTTCTTGAAGAGACACAGAGATGAGGACAACAGAGAGCTTCTGTCTGCTTCCTACTGCTTGGCGCCCACCACAGCCTGAGCGTGGAAGCCAGGAGGTTCAGTTCAGGTTCAGGGTCAGTGGCTGGGATCCCACCCACTGGAGCCATTACTTACTGCCTCTTAGGATACATGTTAGCATGAAGCTGCAGTTAGGAGCACAGCTGACACTAAAGCCATGACATTCTCGTGGAAGATGGGAGCACCCACATAGAAGCATCCTGACCACTAGGCAGATACCTCTCCCAGGTGGTAGTTCTTTTCATGCTACATTTTTCTTGTGTGGGATTTTGTTGGGGCTGGGCACAGGTGGCAGTTGTACCTACCTTGTTTTCATAGAGATCCTTAATATGTATGATATTTATTTTAAAAATTATCAAGGTTGAGCTATACTGAGAAATCAATAGGGCCAAGTCACCCTAAAGACACATTAATGGTTATTATGAAACTAGGCATCGATCTATGCACATTGCTTATAAAATATTTTTTCAGAAATGCTAAAAAAAATTGTGGCTCAGAAATTTGATAATGATTCATTCCATCTGTGTGAACCTCGCTAATATAGTTCATTCTGAATAAAATGTGTATTAATTAATCCTTTGGAACTATTGAGTTTTACAGAGAGTTAGAAAGAATGTTTCCAGTTTGGGACTTTAGTTCACTCTGGTGTGTTTAAATAGTGTGTAACCTAGGCGTTTATACTACTTTTGTAGGCTTTGAAATTTTTCTTAGCTGTTAGCCCTTTAGGAAAAATGCACATATCAGAAGTGAGATACCACAAACATTTTTCTTTATTTTGATCTTTCAAACTAAAACTTAAGGTTTCTAACATGTGTCTATTTTGGATATGTGTCCAAGTAGCAAATAGTTTAAGTACAATGGTACAGCATGGTAATTTGAAATAAACTATCTCTGGGATATTTTATATTTGTTCTAGAAATTGCTTCTGAAGCACACTTTAAAATTAGATGGATTATGACATATAATTTAATGTAATTTGAACATATGGATCCAAACTGTTTTAGTAGTCATTGGAATATATATTATAGTTAACATTTATTATGACCTCATTTTTTCTTCTGGAAATACATAGTGTGCATTACATAATAGCATAGCTAAAATGGCCTTTAAAAATATATTTCTGTATAAAGAAAATTAAATAAATGAAAAATCAGCACCTGTAAGAATCAGCATGTCCTGGATATCCAAACTCATACCCCAGTGACCATGAATTTCTTACGTTTACATCTGATCGTACACCTCCGTACCCATTTCTGTTGAGTTCAGGTTCTCATTAGTGTAGCGGCTCCTGATGAGTTTTTCCATTCTCCTTCAAGGTGTTCACTGAAGCCTAAGTAGCTCTGTTCCTGCCTGAGACCTGCTTCAAGTCTTCCCATGACTCTTCACTGCCTGAAACTTGTAGTCTAAACATCTTAGCATTATGTAGTAAGGTTTTATTATCAGGGCTCAGATTGTGCTTGAACGTCATCTTTTGCCACTCTTCCCAAACAGTCTGTGTTATACAGCCACAGTAAACTACTTGCAGCTCCCTGAATGTATCATCTTCCTCTTCCCTATTGGTGTTTTCAATGTTTTCTTTCCTCTTTGAGGAGCTCCCTTTTCCTCAGCTTGTTGGCTTGGCTAGTTTGTTCTCCAGAACAACATTCAGTATTAACAAGTTCATGAGCGCCTACCAGGAGAGAATCTCAACTACCCCACGACTCTTAACAAGTGTAAGGGGAAGTGGTTGTCTGTAAATGTTAGGAAACATTCCACTGCGAGGGGGTGCCAAGTTTTAGGGTAGAATTCCAGTAACAGTTAACATTGTCTTACAGAAAAGCTGCTGCCCAACCACAGCCTGGAGCCTGAATTCCGACCCATTACCTCATAAGTGCTATGCCATTGGTTACCAGGGGCACTGGTTAAAGTGGAGATGACTCACAAAAACTTGACACGAATAATAGCAAAGCAGTTCCAACTGCAGTTAAATAGGTATGATAAGTGGAATCCACCACCTTATTAACAAGGATTCTGGCACTTTGGATGATGGTGTTTACATAAAGCTTAAAGAACCTCACTTTGGGAGAAGAGAATATGATGAAAGATAAGAAAATGTGCCATCTGAGAGAAAAGTACACTTTTAATTAGAATGTTAGGTTCTTATTGAGCCTCAAGCAAGATCTTTAGTAAACACTGGTATGTTTTATTTTTTTTTAGTTATAAATACATACTTTATCTTTTATTAGCTTCAGATACTAAGACAAACTGTATCACTGTTGGAAGAAATAGCCCAGATCCTGTCTGCACTGAGCAAAGAACAAAGCTGAGGTTAATTTGGAAACAGTCTTGTTCATAAAATATTTTGGTATTCAGTTGTCATGTGTATAAAATTTGGAAGCTCAGTGTACACAATTTAAAAGTGCCATATGATAGAAAAAAAGGAAAACCTGGCACTTTTCCTAGAAAAATGATTGTCATAGAGTTGAAATCTGCAAAACTGAAGAAAGTGCCTGATGATTACTGACTAAATACTATTTATTTGACACTTATAAGTGAATGTTTATTTTTGAAAACACAGTTTTAAAAATAACACTAATTCTTATATAACTAAGGATTAGTTCTATTTGGCTTGTAAAAATTAGCTTAGTGTATTGAAGAGATGTAAAATGATATCCTAGTCGCTATCCTACTCAAAGAGTTTAGAGGAAAAAGGAAAACAGAAATTTTAAAAATATGAATTGCCTTGAGTTTTCATTCATAATATAGAAATGTAATTTATGCCTTAAAAATTCTTCCGGTCAGCTTCCAGAATTTCTTAGTAAGAGGGGTTTGAAGTTCTTGGTTTCTATCTCAGTAACTAAGGTCATCATTCCCACTTTGTAATTGGGACTTTTGACTCTAGTAAATAGCCCATGGGCAAGAGGTGACATCCCTGATGGACACAGCTCAGGCAGCTCATGGATACAGCTTCATTCTGCTGTGTGCCTTTCCACCACCTTCTTTGTGTGTCAGTTTCTTCATTAGTACAATGAAATATAGAAGAGGTCCTCTCTTCATAAAAGTTCTCCAGACTAAGATTCATTTAAAAGCTCTGGACAAGTAGTGAATGTTCAATAAATGTTAGCTGTTGATTTATGAACGTCTTAATGTACCAGATTCCAAACATGGAATTTACCAGGCTTTTGGAACACAACATATCCATAATCCTGTAGTTAGCTCTATTCCATTTATAGTTTCAAGAGATATGTTTGATATATACAGAGTTCTCTGTTGAAGTTATGCTCAGTTTCTCAAACTGAACATCTGTAGTTTCAACTTTGCAATAAAGCATAAACTTCTGAAATGGAAATTCAACTAGTCACATTCCCCTTGCTAGTGCAAGGGTGCAGTGTACAACATATTGATTTGGCTTAAGGAGAACATAATTGAATTAAGAGTTACTGTGCAGGCTTTGAGCACAGTCAGCTCAGTTGGCATTTGTTCTGGTGAGATCTATTCAAAAAACATTTATCCTGTCCTCCCAGACAGAATAACCTACTCTTATAGTTACCAGAAATAGAAATAACCATTTCAGTCAATTTAAGCACCAAGACCAGGAGGAAATTATTAGTTTTAAAGAAAATGATACTGGAAAGTAAGACAACTTTTCTTTTAGAAATCCAGCAAATTTTCCTGACCTCTGAGGAATTTATCTGCCAGTAACCTTTTGTCTAACCTTCTCCTACACAGCAGTATAATGAATCAAAGATTAATTTTGAACTGGTTGAGTGGAGTGGACCTCACTTCTATGACTGGACAGTTCCAAAAATAAATGGTTTTATTTTTTTCAGTTAGAGCCAGTCACGTTTCCTTTGTATACTGGCAAGGTTTGCTTGTGTTTCTTGTATACCATACTCTGTAACAGTACTTCATTTGCCTTTATAGTTTCCGCACTGAAATAGCAGCTGAAGGACAGGAATTACTTTTTGCCTCCGTATCTGATTTCCAACGCAGTTCTTAGCAAAAACCAGGTTCGTGATGGTAATGAATCTATTGATATACCAGATTACATTTATAGACGACTTACCGTATATTCTGGAATCTTCTGCTGTCCAGCAGGGACAGCGGCTGGGGTTGGAAAGCGCGCACAGTCTGGCTCTGCAACCTGTGATCTTTACCATGTGCTACAATGTCAGGTCCATTAAGAAATGAGTACAATTCCCTTTAAGAACTGTGTTGCTCGGACACTTTTCTTAGATAGCATTTTTTTAAGGAGTACTATGCACTTTTGTTGTTGTTCAAGTTGTCATACCAATATAATTTTGATGTGGTATTGAAAATCTCTGATTTTTTTCTCTCTCTCTCTTTGTTTTAAACAAAGTAAGAAATCCATGGCATCACAGAGACATTTCCTGGGGCAGATGTGTCCAGTAGTCACGTCCAGAACTTGTGGAGTTGCTGCTTCTGTAGGAGGGAAGAAGACAGTGGTCTCATGTTAGTGTTTGGGGCAGATGCAGCATCAGACAGAAGCCGGAAATGCTACGCCCAGCTTTACAGCCTTACTGTTCTGCATCCATGTGGGTCCCTCACAGGCAGAATCTACACTTACCCAGCAGAAGAGCTGGGTTAGTATATAATGGCTAGAGACTGGTGCTAGCATTTCTTTCTATTTTGTAACATATAATTGGAAAGGTAGAGTTACAAAGAGAAGGACAGAAAGATCTTCCATTTGCTGGTTCACTCCCCAAGTGACCACAATGGCCAGAGTTGAGCTGATCTGGAGCCAGGAACTTCTTCCTGGTCTCTCACTCTGGTGCAAGGTCCCAACAATTTGAGCCATCCTCTACTGCTTTCCTAGGCCACAGGTAGGGAGCTGGATGGGAAGTGAAGTAGCTGGGATTAGAACTGGCACTCACATGGGATCCTGGTATGTGTAAGGCGACGACTTCAGCCATTAGACTACCATGCCGGGCCCCACGAGTTTTTGATAAATAAAAGAAATTGGTAGAGTTTTATTAAGACACAGCAGCTATATTATTATTCCTTTTGCTTTGGGTGTCCCTAAAATCATATTTTCCTTGGTTAATTTACTTGAGGATAAGAATGACTAGAGACGGGACAGTAGAACTACTGGACTGATGAAAAGATTTACTGCCACAGCATGATTGGAACCTTTTTAGTTGAGTGTTTTAAACACCATTAAAATTTCATTTGGGGGTGGCATAGCAGGTAAAAGCTACTGCCTATAACATAGGTGCCCTTCTGTGTCCTGGCTGCTCCACCTCTAATCCCACTGCTTCCTGATGGCCTGGGAAAAACAGCAGAAGGTGATCCAGGTATCTGGCTTCTGCCAAGCTCCTGGTTCCTAGTTTTTGCCCAGTCCCAGCTGGCCATTGTCACCATCTGGAGATGGAATCAGTGAATGAAAGATTTCTCTGTCTTTATTTCGGTATCTCTCCTGGCCTCTTTCTGTAACTGTTTCAGATTAATAGATAAGTAAATCATTTTTTTTTAAGATTTATTTATTTTCATTTTAAAGTCAGATATATACAGAGAGGAGGAGAGACAGAGAGGAAGATCTTCTGTTCGATGATTCACTCCCAAAGTTACTGCAACGGCTGTAGCTGTGCCAATCTGATGCCAGGAGCTCTTCCGGGTCTCCCACGTGGGTCCTGGGTCCCAAGGCTTTGGGCCATCCTCGACTGCTTTCCCAGGCCATAGGCAGGGAGCTGGATGGGAAGTGAGGTCGACGGAATTAGAACTGGCACCCATATGGGATCCTGGCGCGTTCAAGGCAAGGAATTTAGCTACTAGGCCACTGCGCTGGGCCCAAGTAAATCCTTTTTTAAAAAAAATTTCATTTTGGTACAACACATCCAGTTAGAGTTGGAGTTTCACCATTCTCACAGCTACTTCTCATGCCTAGAAAGTCTTTGGAACAGTAATTTTACCAACTCGGACTTTTGTTTTTAGATTTATTTATTTTTATTAGAAAGTCAGATTTACAGAGAGAAGGAGAGACAGAGAAAGATCTTCCGTCTTCTGATTGGCTTCCCAAGTGCCCATAATGGCCAGAGCTGAGCCAGTTGGAAGCCAGAGGCCAGGAACTTCTTCCAGGTCTACCATGCGAGTGCAGGGTCTCAAGGCTTTGGGTGGTCTTAGACTGTTTTCAGGCACGAAGCTGGATAGGAAGCAGGACCACTGGGACATGAACTGGTGCACATATGGAATCCTGAGCATGCCAGGCAAGGATATTAGCCACTAGGCTATTGCATCAGGGCCCCAATTCAGACTTTTTATACTCATTTTCTCAAGAGAAAGCATTAAGTGAAAGCATTCAACAAACAATAAGAACTTTTCTTTGAGCAGGCGTTCTTCTCCCCTGAAAAATGTCCACATTACCTGTTTCCTAAAGGCTGTTGTTGAGCTCTCTCCTGTTTCTAAGCTTTCCCCTGCAGCTTTCCTGAACATGAGAGCTTTGCTTTCTTTCCTTGTCTAGCTTCCCTTCTCTGAACCTCATGTACCCTTGAGGCTGCCGGGATTCAGCACCAGTCGTGCCAGCCGCTACAGATCACATCTCTGTCTAGAGTTGGGGCTCCGTGGTAATGAGAAGCAGAAAGTGCTGAGATAGCACACTGTGTACGCACTGGCAGGAGAAGACAGTGCTGCGGCCTCCGCAGAAACAACACTTAATCCCCCGTGCGCACAGCCAGGGAGAAGCATGCTGTGGTGCAGAGCGAGAGACCCTTGGTTAAGGACAAGTCTTGGCAGATTTATTAGCAGCAATATTCTAAGATTAGCCTAATTTACAGTTTGTAAGTACTTTCTTCAGTTGGAAAAACCTTTTTTTTTTTCTTCTTCTTCTTCTTTTTTAGGAGGCCAGATGCTCCAGTGCCTGACGGCGAGAGTGAAAGAACTGCAGCAGAAAGTTCAGACAGTGAATCTTCTTTCAGTGACTGAGCCTAATTTTGATAACAAATATGCATATTTTGGGGCACAATTTGTATTCTGTGAGAGAGCCTAAACTCTTAACACTTGATCATGAATATATCAAATGACTGCATGCCCATGACCAAGCTTTCTCTATGTAAAAAAAAAAAAAAGTAAATAAATCATTTATAACCTGGCCCTTATGTCTTCTTATCAAAAAAAAGGGCCCTGAAATGGGAAGGAGAATAATCTAAATAAACTGTGATTACTAAAATATTTCAAGGATGTAATGAGCATTTAAAAGTTAAGTTGACGTAGGGTCAGCCTTTGTACAGCGATTAAGACATTGCTTATGATACCCACCTCCTGTTTCGAAGTTCCTGGGTTCAGGTCCCATTCCAGCGCGCCGGGAAGCAGTTGATGATGGCTCAAGTGCTCGGATCCATGTTGCCTCCGTGGAGTCCCAGCTCCTCTCTCCAGTTTGGCCTGCGCCTGGCTGCCCAGGGCATTTGGAGAGTGAACCAGTGAGTGGGAGATTTCTGTCTGTCTCTTTTCTTCCTTCCTTTTTTTTTTTAATGGTACAATTTCATAGGGTCTGGGATTTCCCTACCCCTTTCCCAGTTTCCCATCCCCTGACTGATTTCCTCCATATTATTGTAATAGCA